CTCTCTCTCTCTCTCTCTCTCTCTCTCTCTCTCTCTCTCTCTCTCTCTCTCTCTCTCTCTCTCTCTCTCTCTCTCTCTCTCTATCACATTTCATGTGCATGTTTATGATCTTACGAAGTTTTGCACGAGTGCTACTGTGCCCCTCATTTCGGGCACTCTTCCAAATGGCTGGCATACTCTACAGGAAGTAAAGGCGAATGGTCTAGAGCGTCACACAGTAGGCGAATCACGACTGAATCTTTGCGCGCTATCTCACCTATGCTGTTCCCGATACAGCCAGCAAAGTAGTTTGTGGGAAAAAACAAAGTGAGGAGATGGTAGCTGTTGTAGTTAGAAACGAATTCGTGACGAGGTGGGAGGGAAGGAAGATGGGCGATTGAGATAAGTGTGTCATCGGTGTTTACCAGTACCCTCTAAGAGGTGAAGACAGTAGAGGTGTAGGGTGCTGTGAGAGGTGTACACGTGTGCTAGTTGTCAGCAGGGCAGTGCGGGTGAGTGCATTCACGTGTCGTAGCGCTAGTCCGTCGGAAAAACCGTTCTTTCAAAGCAGCTACAGTCAAACCCTGTATAGCAAGGCCACTCAAGTAAATCTTAAAAAAATGCACTATATAACCAGACGTCGATTATATAGAGGCGGTTTCACTGTTTAATTATCATGATGATAAACGCAAAAAAATGTCCTTCATATACGGGTGTCCGTTCTGTAAAGCGTTCTGCTACGACAGGTATTAGGAGAAGGCTCTATAGACGATATATACGGCTATATAAATTGGGGCAAGCTTCTTAAAAGGCAGTGGAAATGATTCGTTTGTCTTGATTCTAGTTAGTGGGTCCTTGTTGATCGGTATTCAGTTGTGCAGGCATCGGGGATTCTAGACGAGACGGAGTGTGGTGAAATGTTTCTTTCGCGTGTTCGTTGTCGGTCATGTACTGGAACGGTAAACAAAGCTATGACCCGCAATGCGAAGTAGGACGGCTTGGGGGAGAAATGAGGCTCCGTTCGTTCGTTCTTGCGTGCGTGCGTGCGTGCGTGCGTGTGTGTTCTTTCGTTCGTTCGTTTGTTCGTTCGTTCGTTCTTGCGTGCGTGCGTTCGTGCGTGCGTGCGTGTGTGTTCGTTCGTTCTTGCGTACGTACGTGCGTGTGTGCGTGCGTTCGTTCTTGCGTGCGTGCGTCCGTACGTGTGTGCGCGCATGTCCCCCTCCCCGCGCGCTCGTGACATGTGCGCATGCAGCTGGCATCGTAAATTTGAAGCTCACTTGAAGCACAAGTTGCTGTTTTTTGGCGTGATACGTGCTGGTGTTTTTTATTCCCGTGGTATGGATATCGGCGGCATGTCCCTCCATCCCTGCCCACCGACGGCCCACATGGCCTCGCCACGGATCACCCCTTCTTCTTCCTCTTTCTTCTCCTCCTTCTCCTCCTCCTGCTCCTCCTCCTCCACATCCACCTCCTCCAGATCTACCTCCTCCAGCTCTTCTTCTTCCTTCCCCTCTTCCTTCTCCTCCTTCTCCTTCTTATACTTGTTGGTTGGGTAGACGCTGCACAGGTGGTGGCTTCTACCTCCAGCGGCAGCAGGAGTGGTATTGGTATAACACGTGCGTGCGTACGTGCGTTAGTGTGTACGTACATGGGCGATGGGTGATGGGTGATATTTCGACGGGGGCGGCATGCAGGCAGACGCGGCTGGTTTATTTACGTCGCCGTCGGGGCTTCAGCAGCAGCAGCAGCAGCATCAGTACCAGCAGCAGCATCTTCATCCGCATCCTCAGCATCAGCATCACCGACGGCGGCGGCGGCGCCCGTAGTCACGACCCTGGTGGCAGACGCGAACAGCCGGTGTGTGCTTGACGCTCTCTCTCGCCTGACGCGGACACACGTTCTTTCCTGTGGTTCGAGCGTCGTAGGGATTCAGGAAGCTCGAGTGCGTGGTTCAAGTCTCGCCAGGATTTAAGAAAGCCGAGCAGCACGTGGTTCGAGCCTCGGAGGGCGTTCTCACTGAGCCAAGTTCGTGGATCACGGAGGAGAAGAAGGAGGAGGAGGAAGGCGTTTGTGCGCAACACGGAGGGGAACAACCCCACTCACGCACTCACCCACCCACGCGTCGTCATGTACACGTACCAAGAGGCTTACGCCGCTGCGGTGACGTATCGTCCACGTTTTTTCTTCATTCCCGCCGAGTTTCGCGCGCTCATCTTTCTCGCGCACTTCTTACGTGTGTTCCTCGTTATACAATCCTTCCTGCTCGCTATAATACAAGCGACTTCGTATCGGGGATTTTTACGCGTAATACAAGTTGCGCGCGTGCTGGGAAGCCAACCTTCCTGCATGCGTACGGACAGATTGCATTTAACGTCAGAGCAGCGCGGGATAGATACGTAGGCGGTATAAATAGCGGTGTGCGTGCATGCGGTGTGTGTGTGCGTGCATGCGGCGTGTGTGCGGGGGGAGGGTATAACTGGGGCTCGTTAATTCCCCTGTTTCCCTCTCCGACGGAAAACTGCGCGGGAGGTCGACGTTTAGAGGGAGAGAGAGAGAGAGAGAGAGACAGAGACAGAGACAGAGACAGAGACAGACAGACAGACAGACAGAGAGAGAGAGAGAGAGAGAGAGAGAGAGAGAGAGAGAGAGAGAGAGAGAGAGAGAGAGAGAGAGAGAGAGAGAGAG